TTCGCAGCTTGCGCCTGCGACGCCGATGAGACATCTTGACCCTGGCCCTTGGCGCACGGACGCGCCCTCGCAGCTGCCTGGTCGGCGCCGAGATAAGTCGCCGACGTGACTGCGGCCTTCTTGGAGGAGCCGAGCTTGTTGGTCACTTATTCAGCAGGGGCCCTGACACTGGCTAGCACTGCCGGCTTGTCATTGGTCTTCGCACCTGGCGCCGCAGTCGCGGCGTGGTGCTATGCTGCATCTAGCGGGGGCTCCACATGGCGCACGAGGAAGACGATGGTCGCGATGCCGAAGCAGACGAATGGCCCGAGGAGCGCGCCACGTGTTGTAGGTGAGCTTAACCAGCGCTGTCGGAGTGCCGAACGCGACGAACTTGTCTGTAAGCTGCGCCAGTTCACTGCTCTCAAAATACTTCGAATAATCAGCGATGATGGTGGCAGAGAACCGTTCAGCTGCCAAACACGACTCGGATCTTGCCGCCTACATTCACGCGCTGTCGATTGGGCCTCGACCCTTACCAGCGCCCCAGAACTTCCGACCCGGAGCCTGAAGCAGGTTGTCGCATTCAGAGCGACTGAGTCGTTGCCACACACGGTAGACAGAAACATAAGTAATGATAAGACGGTGGCCACGGAGCTTGGGGAGCACAGGCATCAGTTTCCAAACCCATCCTCGCAGCTTTGCGAAGATCTTCTGGCTCCGGACGTGGAAGGGAGCTTCTATCAGGAATCCAAGCAATGGGCGCGGCTGATGTGCCGCGCCAAATGCTGGTGCACTCGTCCTCCATGGCAGCTATGACATGATGAGAATGAGGTGGAAATTGGCCAGTGCTCGTGCTGACTGCAGTGGGCGCTTGCACTGGTCTGACTTGCGTGAGTCGATGAAGTCTACGAGCTCCAACTGCGCTCGTTTGCCTGCAGTCTCGCCAACGGTTCTTGCTATCTTTGTCGGCCCCTCGAAATGCTCGGCCGAAGTCGTCCTGCCATTCTTCGGGCAACTCTCTGACGGCACCGCGATGAGAATGAGAGCCAACTAGACGCCTGGCCTGCGTCGTACTCGCACCGAGACGACGTTTGACTCCTTGATCAGAATACGCTGGGGTTTGCGACGACAGAATCTCGCCCTGAATTTTATCGAACTGGAGCTGCGGTCGACTCTCTTGAAATTGCGCAATCGCGGTGGCAGTATCAATGGGCCATTCTCCAACCATCAGCGCGAGCTTGAATACCAGTCGCGTCATTGAGCTCATAGCGAGATATCGACCAAGCGAGGGTGCAGGAATCAGGAGTAGACCTCGAAATCGCGGATGTCGCGCCAGTGATGAGGGCCAGCCTGCGCGCGGCATGCTCAGCAAACTGACCCCTGGCAGGAGTGGGAAAACCCCGAGCTGCATCAGGGCGTTCCGTGGCAAGAACAACTGCTTGCTCAGCGCATCTCATAATTAAGTGAACTCCAAGATGCCCCAGGATGACAAGGCCAATGCCACCCCTGGCAAACGCCGCGAGCCCAGCAGGGGGAAGGGCCTGCAATGGGAGCGCCAGGTAGAACGATGACCAGCCAACCTGTCTCCGCAGCGAACCCGCAACAATCTCCGACGCCCCAATCTTGGTAGCCGATGTCCTGCGCCAGCACGGTGTCTTCAGGCGAGCCTTCAGCGCTTTGCGCCCATGGTTGGCGCTTGAGGTCTCGATCGCGTGAGCCTGCACGGCGTAGTCAGACGCGGGCAGTGTCCTGCTCTTGCCCCCGCGCGCTTCGAGGCGACTTGCCACCGGAAAAAAAATGCACTCCTGCCGGGCCCAGTCCGCGCATGCACCGGAGCCTCTGCAGCGCGCCCGGCGCCCGCGCGCGGCGACCTGCGCCCGGCAGCCTCGACGCACCTGGGCTCGCGCGGGCGCGCGAATGCCACGCGGCAGCGGCCAGAACTTGGCGCGCTGGGCAGACCAAGACTTGCCCAGGGTAACTTCCACATCGCCAGGCACCAGATGCCGAGAAGCCGAACGCGCCAAAGACGATGCAGCATTACTGCCGTCCACGCGTGGCGACGCGCGCCGGGCAACTCCAACGCGCGCGGGCTCGCGCGGGCACGCGGAGTCCACGCTGCCAGGGGGTGCGCCGAGCTGCCCAGGACTTGTCCTGACGCCAGCTTCAGCGCCACCATCCCCCATGCTCCGGGATGCCAAACTTGCCAACGTCGATGCGGCATCTGCGCCGCCACTCACCAATCTCTGAGCGGAACGCGCCGGTGCTGAGCCCTCAGTCGTGCTCTGCTGCCTTGACTTGGCGCGGTGGATCTCGAGCGCGAAACCTGACCCGGGGGGATTCGCGCCTCTGCCTGATCAACCTCAACCTGAAGCAACATGTTATCACAACATGCCTGGCCTGGACATGGACTGCCAGCCCCAGATGCAGGAGTCGGCGAGGAGCCTCGCCCAGCAGACGAGGTCATCCGAGACATTGAACTGGTAGGAATACCAGTGGCACTGCCAGTAGGACCACCAGTCAAACAAATCTGGGATGCCGAGCTCGCCGCACAGGACCAAGTAGCACCAGTAGCTCTTGAAATAAGACTACCAGACGACAGAATCTGGGACGCAGAATTCGCCGCAGTCGACCCAGAAGCACCAGTAGTTCTTGAAAAAGAGCCACCATTCAAACGAATCTGGGACGCCGAACTGGAGGGCGAGGTCCGAGTGGCACCAGGAGAGCAAGTAGCAGATGCCGCGCTGCATGTGCGATCGCCTCCTTCGCTTGCACTCTGGCCACGGAAGGTGGCAGTGACAAGGGTTCGGGTCATCATCGTCAATAGAAGCACCAGCAGGCTCGGTGCGACTTGTCTTGCTTTTCTGGAAGTTGTTGAACAGCTCGAAGAGGCGTTGCGCCTCCTGGCCTCGCTGTACTCCGCCACCTTGCCTGTCCTGCCGCAGCTGCTCGGCGTCGTCAAGGTCGAACCGTCCGGTTGCTCGCTTGACGCCTGCAGAGTCAGGAGATGGGAGAGGTCGTGCATCCTCGTGCCACATTTCAACATCAGTCTGCTGCTGCTTGTCGTTGTTCCGCACGGGCTTCTGGTACTTGTCGAATAGCGGGTTGGGCGTGAACTTGGTGTAGAAGTCAGCAAACCCGGCGCCACCTTTGACCTCTCCATCCTCAACGTCAATCGTGAACGCTTCCTCTGCAAGCACCTGCTGATCATCCTCAGCGCGGCATGACTGCGGGCGACAAGGTCCTTCTGCAGCGTTTGGACCTCGCTTTTAGCAACAATAGCCACCCCTTTCCGAGCAACGTCCGGTTGGAGCTGCTCCAGCTTGCGGACCATGTCTGAGAGATCGCTGTCTTGTTTCATAAACTGTTGCTTTGACTTCTCAAGTTTTTGCTTGTTGTCTTGTGCGCCGTGGCGGGAGTCCACAGGGCCTTCGCCTGAGCACGTAACTCCACGAGAACACCTTTGTTGGCCTCGTGGCTGGGCCCACCGAAGTCTGCAGTCTCCTTGACAATCTTCTCGTAGACCTCAATCTGCTTGAGAGCACTCGCGCGCTTGGTCTGGGTGGGATCCTCCGTGGACGGGGTCTTGTCCTCGGTGGCCGCCTTGTTCGCACCGCCGTTGGACTTGACCTTGCGAAACTCTGCCTCCGCTGCTTTGAGGCGTTGCTCCATCTGCTGCGTGTACTTGGATGCTGGACTCCAGGGGGCAAGAGTGGGCCACAGACCAGTGCCTCCGACGCGCTTGGACGGAGAGGTGCCTTCTGCTGTTGTCTCGTCTGCCGCACGAGCTGCAACCAGTATTATGTGAGGCGCGCTGGCACCGCACAAGCATTGCAAACGATTCGCCCAAATTAATGCCCTGCCGCAGTGGCCGCATCCCCAGAACGGTTCGCGTGGACCGCGAACCACGGAAGGGGACGGGACCATGGCGGGAGCCACTGACCATCGCGCAGCCTAGCCGTGGCAATGGACATGCAACAAGGGGCGGACCTCGATGCACTCGGCCGGGGGCTGACCATGCGAAGGATGAATGCAAGCCGCGGACTAGCTGTATCCACTTGCTCCCCTGTGGAACTCATGGCCTTGAGCCACAATGGCTACGGACGGAGGAGGAGGAGGAGAAGGAAGAGGAAGAGGAGGAAGAGCGGTAACAGCACCAGGAGCGGAAAGATGAGGAGAAGCAGCATAGTGACGAAGAGCCGGAGAGGAAACGCAAGAGGAGAAGGAGAAGGATGAGCAGGAATAGCAGGGATGAACATTGAGGGCACTTGTGGATGGTGACGACGATGGTGGTGATGGTGATGGTGATGGTGCTGGTGCTGGTGACGTGATAATGGTGATGGTGATGGTACTGATACTGTTGACGATGTTGACGATGGTGATGATTATGATGATGATGATGATGATGACGATGATGATGATGATGATGATGATGATGATGATGATGATGATGATGATGATGATGATGATGTTGTTGGTGATGCTGATGGTGGTGATGGTGATGATCATGTTGGTGGTGGTGGTGGTGAGGAGGAGGAGGAGAAGGAACGGGAGGAGAACAACGAGGAGGAGCAGCAGGAGGAAAAGGGTGGAGGAAGGGATGACGCGGGGGTGGGGGAGTCCGACCAAAAGCGTGAATCGCGCTGTCCGAGGGAGGGGGCCAAGGAGGGGGGCGTGCCCATCAGAGGGGCGTTGTTGTACACCCTGGCGGAAGGCCAACGACCGATGCGGTACACACCCAAGAAGGAAAGCGAACGACGAGGAGGGCGAGGTCGTGGGACCCACCCAAAGCGGCAGCGGCCTCGCGGGCGTGGCTGGTGTTTATGCGACCGAGCGTCTCTCCCCAGGATCCCCAGTGAGAAAGAGAGACGAAGGGGGAGAGCGAGCCGCGCGAATAATCAGAAGAAGAAGCAGCAAGACGGAACGGCACGCGCGGGAAAGGGTACAAGGGGATGGGGGGGGGGGGGGCACGACGTCCACCACATTATATTCGCCGAGCCCCCTTGTCCGAAGAATCCCGCCTCCACTCTGAAGTACCAAATCACGAAAGTTCGGCGAGTCCTGGGCGGGCTATTCCGTCTCCCCCTCCCCGCCTCAGACTAGCCACCTCCTCCCCCTTCTCCTCCTCAGCCGTCCTCGCCGCCGCCGCCTCCCCCTCCTCCTCCTGGATACCCTCTCCGACCACTATGTTTCTCCTCCTACCCCGCGACTCCGAAACTCTTGTCATCCGCGTCGTCCGCCTCCCCTTCATCCCCCATCTCGTCCTCCTCGTCCTCCTCCTTCGAATTCCTCCTCCTCCTCCTTCTGGCGAGAGGCCAGAGAAACAATTGTCTTCAAGTCTGGCAAGTCCGCAGCGGCGCAGACTGAGGACCTGCACGAACACACACTCAGAATCGCAACGGGCCTCATGGGCAAACTCATGCGGGGTTTGGCTGAACACCCAAACGCTGGTCGAGGCCCCTCGGACTGAGGGTGCGACACCGTGTTGGGCAAGCATACGTGTCTCATAACAGCTAGGAGCAGGCTTAGCAAAGCGCAACCATACTGCAATGCATTCAAGCATTACGACGCCCTGCCGACGTTCCCACAATCTCTATGAGTCACGGGAGCCCTCCCAAATGCGCGATCCGGAAACACATTGCACTGCCCCTCGCTTTCACGATCACGAAGCTTCGCCGCCCACCTGCTCAATCGAGTCAATGTGATCCCACCAACCCTCTGGGCGCAGGTGGTCTAACGATGTCTTTGCTTCCTATTCCAACAACCCTTCTTCCCCTTCGGGGAGGGACTTATCCCTCCGCCTACCCCCTCCCCTCGACCTGGACGGGAGGGGCCGCGATCCGTTGGAGCGTCCAAGATCGGCCCGTGAAGGGGCCAATTCTTGACACCCCTCACGAGGACCGTGGCCCCGAGGGGGGTCCTCGATCGGGACCCTCCCTCCTCTGATCGAAAGCCTCGAAGATGGCCCCAAGAGGCGCTCCAGGGCTCCCAAGAGAGCCCCTAGAGAGCCCCAAGAGGGCCCCAAGAGGGTCCCAAGAGGGCCCCAAGAGGCACGCGAGAGGCCCCCAAGACGCCCCCGAACGGTCTCAGAGAGCCCACGATGACCTCCAGGATGGCTCAGATAGCCCAGACTGGCTCAAGATGGCTCCCAAGATGCTCCGAACCTCTTCCAAGAGCGCCCACGAGCGCGCCAAGAGAGCCCCAAGAAGCGGTTCGCCGGCTCCTGAGGGGGGAGTCGAGTTGGGGACCCCCCCATCCTGCAATCGATGGCCTCCAAGATGATCCCAAGAACCCTTCCAGGGTCACCAAGAGGGTTCCAAGAGGGTCCCCCAAACTCCCAGAGAGCACCAGCAGCAGCAGCCGCAAGAATACCTTTTGATGGTTCATGAGTCCTCGTCCGCGTCGTCCTCATCCTAGTCCTCGTCCTCCTCGTCCTCCTCGTCCTCCTCGTCGTCCTCCTCCTCCTCCTCCTCCTCCTCCTCCCCTCACCCCCACGCGGCACCCACGAATGGCCCGAAGAGACCTTCCAAGGCCACCCCCTTGCTCGCTTTGTTTCCCTACATGTGTCTCTTCGTCCCTTTTTCCCGTCAGCTCTGAAGGGCAGGGTTTCTGAACGGGCTGGTGGGGATACTTTTTTTGGCCGGCGGCTCCGAGGCGGCGGACAGGGAGCGGAAGGCGTCGTCTGGGCCAGCAGGCGAAGCCAATTAGCTACAACAGGCAATACACCTGCAGTAATAAAGCGCAAAAGGAGCGCATGTGCACATGCATCAAGCAAAATGCTCCACATTAAGGCGAACGCACCTAGGCGCCAGCCACACAGAGGTGAAGCAGCCGCAGTGCTACGCAGCGGAAGAGTCGCCCTGTCGGCGCCAGTCCGCGCAGCCAACCTAGCCGATCACCGAAGCGACACGCTGAAGGCTGAACCACTCAGCGCGAGGTACCACCGCCGAGCGCGGGGTCGGCCGAGACAGGGCAGGGACCTACAGAGCTGGTGGGTTTTTTGTTTTTTTACGGCCGCAGGCGGAAGCGCCAGCGGCGCTGGTGGGGGTACGCGAAGCGTGAAGAATTTGTATGCCAGCAAACGTCTGACGTCAACTTGTAATCCGCAGCCCCCCACGAAGGGCCATTAAGCTGCGGGGGTTGAGTTTCAGCATCAGGTACCAGCCCTGAACCCCACGCCGTAAGTCACAGTTCCAATGCAGCTTCCAGTTGCCAATCTCTGATGTAATAGTTATACGTCCTGCTTCCCATGGAAAACTGTGACTGAACGCGCGAGGGGCGGAGGTGGAACACCACCCTGGCCACCACAACCTCGGGGGTTTCCTCGGAGGGGGACCTGGGACAAATAACAAAACGTGAGCGTCGCATTGCGCTCCCAGGGCCAGAATCTTTGATCACTTGCACCAGACCCGCGTCCCTGAGGAGAGAATTCCATCGTATGCTGCACCAAATTTGCGCTCCCTGGGCCAAAACTTATTGTAACTTACGCAAGACTCGCGCTCCTTAGGCCAGAATCAGTAGTACATTCATACGCCTGATTCGCGTTCCCGAGGCCAGAACCTTTTAGCACCAAATGCAACCAGGCTCGCGGCCCCGAAGCCAGAATCCATCCTAATGCCGAAACCAAAATCACTGGTACATTGCACGGGATTCGCGCTCCCGAGGCCAGAATTGTTAGTAAATTCTGCCAGACTCGTGCCCCTGAGGCCAGAATCCTGCGCAAATCACTCCAGATTTGCGCGCCCGAAGACATTGCGAATAACACCAGTCTCGCGCTCCCGAGGAGACGATCCCCCGCAAATTGCCCAAGACTCGCGTTCCCGAGGCGGCGGCACCCCATAATTTACAACAGATTCGCGTTCTCGAGACCCGAATCCTTTGCACACTGCGCCAGATTCGCGCGGAACCAGAACACTTGATACATTACCCCGGATTCGTGCCCCCGAAGCCAGAACCCTTTGCAAACTCCACCAGGCTCGCGCTCCCGAGGACACGATGTCCCATAAGTTACGACAGGCTCGCGCTCCCGACGCCATGATCCCTGAAACCCCGTAACACCTAGTGTCCCTGTTCCCTGTTACTTCAGTTAACCTCAGCTTCCCTCGGTTACCCTATTTACGCCATGTTGCAGTCAATCTGAGTGGGACTGCAGGCATCCCACCCAATAGAAAACCTCAGAAGGGAAACCCAGTGCAAAAAAAACACTTTGTACAGAATTTCCCCCCTGGCCTCGGGCTTCCCGCAAACACGATACCCGACCGTCGATCCTCGTCAATACTCCGGTCTTCGTTTTTCGAATATCGCCAAAAAGCCGATCATCGGAATCGGATCCTCGATCCAACTCGAAACCCCGAAGATAGATCTTGGCCAACACCTCAATTCTCGTCTCTCGAAGACACTTCATCCTCGAAGATCGATCCTAGCCGATGCCTAGGCCATCGCACCGCGATTTCCGAACTCGTCGAAAATCTTTAAGGGACAAATCAATACAAAACGAGCTTTTTGTATAGAATGTCCCCCTGCTCTCGTCATCGTCTTCGTCGTCATGGTTATCGTTGCCACCATCAGATTGGCAATCATCAACATCAGAATCTCCACCATATTGATCGTCGCCGCAGTCGTTGTCGTCGGCACCATCATTGTCATAACCATCGTCACCATCATCATCATCATCATCATCATCATCATCATCATCATCATCATCATCATCATCATCATCATCATCATCATCAGCATCTTCACCGCCATCATCAGCATCATCGTCATCATCGCCACCATCGTTGTCATCGTCGCCCTGCCAAACTGTCAGATTTGTCGTCATCGTCTTACTCCCCTCTGCTCCCCTCGTCCTCCTCCACATCATTGAACTCCGAATGTTTTTCCCGCGACGCGCCCGACGGGACCCTCGAGGTCTTACGTCGGTTGGGCCCCGCGCCCCTGGCCCGCCGATATCGAGCACAGGGGGCGGGGGCCCTCGCCGCGCAGAAGTTCAGGCGCCCAGGGCGCGAAGTCCTCTGCGGACTGACCGGTGGGGAAGGCGACCCAGAAGCACGGTCCCCAGGGGCTTCCCCCCGATTTGGGCACCTGGTTCTCCTGTGGTATTCCCTCCGTCATGGTATGCTTCGCGAGCGGGAATCTGACTGACAAGCCGATGGCCTCCCGTGGCTGCTTCGCCGCGGGCGCTCTCGACCCGGGTGCCTCTTCGGCGCTCTGCTGGGCAGCCGCTGGCATGCCGGCCACCATCTCCGCCATTTCCCCGTGCAGGTCTTCCCGCGATGTTCCGCGAGGCAGTCGTCAAATGGCACTGGCGTCGGCGTCGGCTCCTGAACGACGTCGGGCATGACCCGAGACCGCATGCTTCGGATTCCCGCCTGGATGAGACTCATCAGCCGTTCCCTGGTCTAGGCGGGGAGTCGACTTGACTGGCCCCCCCTCTTCCGACGAGACGGATGCGTGATCGCCCGAGTCTGTGTCCGAGTCGGAGGAGACCACGTAATTTGATGGACGCTGGGCGGCATGGTTTCTCGCCCAAGCTGCTCGACCCATGCCATCCGGCGTCCGCCTCCGCCTTGTCTGCGCCCGCTCGTGGCGCGCCGCGACGGCCGCGGCCTCCTTCCGCCGGCGCTTCTCCCGACGACAACGAGAAACTCTGGCTGATATTCCGCGGAGAACGCGAGTCGGAACCCCTGGCGCAGTCAGGGGGCCCATTCCTTTTGAGCCGCGGCATTGCTCTTCGTTGCCAGGCCCGCCCGCCTGCGATGTTGGAAGCACAGCTTGTGGGGAAACGTTCGGCTGATTGCCCACATTTTGCCGATTCATAACGGTTTCGGGCGTTATTTCGACCCGGCTGATAGGCGTTATCTCAATCCGGTTGGATAGTGGTCCCAAATTACGCCTGGTAGGGATGCACTTGTCGCCGAAGCCACCTTGAGCATCCGGCAAGCGAATGCGCCAGAGTACATGTGCACGGCGAGGCCGGCCGAAGGGGGGGGCCGGCGCCGCGCGCGCGGACACCTTCGACTAAGCACATATGTAGCATATATATATACATATATGTATATATGTGTAGCTGCGAAGCATCGCCGCCATCGCTGCAAGCGCCAACCCACGCAAGAGGAAGCGGCGGCGGCGGCGGCGGGGCGCGCGACGGCGGCGCAGCAAACGACTGCATATGCGCCACCAGCTTTAGGATGGGCTGCCCGCAGCCAGCCACTACGAAGGGCGAGGGGACTGGAGCCGGGGGGCGGGGATCGGGCGCGGCGAAAAGAGAGGCGGTGCGCCGCCGAAAAGCACTCATAGTCTTGCAAGCATCTAGGCCGCCATAGGTTCAGTAGGGCGATGGGCTAGCGCGCGCAAGCTGAAGCTGGCTTTGCAGTTGATAAGTTTTGCCTGGAGTGTCTGTGCAAGGCCTAGACTTTGCATCCTCGGCGTGGTCCGGCCCTGCTTACAACGCCCCACCGGATTTTGCCAATCAAACTTCGTCGCGCAGACCCTTTTCCACCAGCCAAACCAAATCCCATCCCCATTCTGGAAATGTGGCCTGGAAATGTGGCCTGGGGGGGGGCCTGTGGCAATCGTTCGGGGATTGGCCTGGGGGGGGCCCCCCGGGCCGTCACTGCGGCTCGGCCACCGTCGCCCTTCGGGCCTCAACTCTTTACATTCATGACTGACCATCAACTGCTTATACGCGCCTGGCAGCTGGGGTCCGCGCGCCGCCGCGATGGCACCGACCGATGCGAACAGGCATGGATGGCCGCGAGAACCGAGTGACATACCTCAACTAGATACTACATCATACGGAAGAATATCCTAGCGCTGGCGCGCCTGCGATAGACCTGTTTTAGTTCAGGGTAACGTCATCGTTGATGCTGCAGCGGGATGGAGGGACTCTGCGAACGCGCGGTCATTGACGGTGTGTGTCCAAGTCGAGTTGAAGCTGGCGGAGCTGTCCATTTCTCACTATTCACTCCACAGACTGAAACAACAGGATCAGTGTTCATTTAAGCACTGCGCGGAAATCGGACGCTACGCCACCCTCGATGCGCGGCACTGAGCAGCCCCGTGCACATGAATGCCACATAAGGTGTGTAGGTGCGTAGTTTGCGCGCGTGCGTGCGCGTGCGCGTGTGTGTGTGTGTGTGTGTGTGTGTGTGTGTGTGTGTGTGTGTGTGTGTGTGCGTGTGCGTGTGCGTGCGCGTGCGCGTGCGCGTGCGCGTGCGTGCGCGTGCGCGTTGTGTGTGTGTGTGTGTGTGTGTGTGTGTGTGTGTGTGTGTGTGCGCGTGCGCGTGCGCGTGCGCGTGCGCGTGTGTGTGTGTGTGTGTGTGTGTGTGTGTGTGTGTGTGTGTGTGTGTGTGTGTGTGTGTGTGTGTGTGTGTGTGTGTGTGCGTGCGCGTTCGCGTGTGTGTGTGTGTGTGTGTGTGTGTGTGCGTGCGTGCGTGCGTGGGGGGGGAAAAGCGCGGCCCCCAGCGAGGGCGGCCCCGCCGCGAGGAAGCGGCGGCCTGCCTCCCGCCCCTACTACCAGCACAACTCGCGAACTGTCCGCCTTCGCGCCCGCCCTTCCGCTCACTGCCAGCCCCCCGTCTGGGGGCCGGCACGGGCCCCCTCAAGGACCGCCCTCTCGGCCGCCGACGTTTCTGGCGCACCGCCCGGCTCCGCCGGATTTCGCGGCTCACTCGGCCTGCGACTTTTTGCGGCTCCGCCGCCTTCTTCTAACTTCCCCCGTCGCTCCTTGACGCGTTCCCTCGTCAATCCACGCTTGCGTACTCGCTCTCCCCGCCTTCCAGTCCCGGTTGGCTGATGTCATCATCCACCCTCACCGTAGTTTCGTCTACTCACCGCCCCTCCCCGCCATCCGTGCCTAGATGGTTATGGCTGCCGCCGTCTACGAGACCCTAAGCGGTCTCTGAGTTCTCGGCCAGGCGTATATAGACGCGCGCGCTTCACTGCCTGCTCCCGACGTTCTACGCCCCATCGCCGCGCGCAGGGCCACGACGCCAAACAATGTGTGTGTGTTCTTCCGTGCTGTTCGCCGTTCAGCCCGCTTGTCTTTGGCACTGTTTCCCAGTTTGCCGTCTGCCCTGACACCGTGTCCTCATCACTTGTCCTCTCGATGCTTCCAGATCGGCATGAGTGCGCCTCCACTCGCATTTTCTTCCCAGTCATCACAACTCGCATCGCGGCCCAGCCCGGCGGCGCAGCTGTGACGGGCTCGGGTTGACTGCATAGAGAGTTATCCTGCCCGCTGGCGCTCGAATGTGTGTATGTGTGCATGTGTATGTGCAGCCCTTGGCTGGCCTCCACCTGCCCTCCTTTCGGCACCTCACCCCCATGGGCCCCTCCCTCAGGGAAAGTGCCCGCTTCTGCCTCTCTGGCCTGCCCTCTCGGCCGCCGCCGTTTCCGGCGCGTCGACCAGCTCGCCGGCTCTGTCGCGGCTCTGCTGCTTGCGACCTTTGTGGCGTCCCCGCCGCCAGCTGCCCCCCCTGCCCTTTGGGCTTTAGGTCGGTTTGGGCCTCCTTGTCGCTCCGCACTGCTTACTCGCTCCCCCCGCCATCCAGTCCTGGATGGTTTATGGCATCTTCGACCGAACCGTAGCCGCGTCCTTCCACCGCTCCCCCTATCATCCACGCCCCGATGACTTATGGCGGCCGGATGCTGCGGGACCCTGAGCGGTCTCTGAGAGCTCGGGCGTTCCTAGTCGCGCGCGCATTTGTTGCTTTACAACCTTCTCCGCCCTGTCGCCGCGTGCAGGGCCGCAACAGCAAAAAGTGTGTGTGTGTGTACGTGTTGTCTGTGTGTTTGTTTGTGTGTTGTGTGTGTATTTGTGTATGTGTGTGTGTGTGTCTGTGTGTCTGTGTGACTGCGTGTCTGTAGCCTGTATGTCTGTGTGTGTGCGTGTCTGTCCTGGGTTCGCGCCGCGTCCCCGCAGAGGACCCGCAAGCCCGCAAGGCTTTTCTGCGTTGGGCAGCACTGCGCCTCCATGCCATCCACGCCCCGATGGTGATGTTCCTCGTGCTACGTGCCCGCGTGGGAGATCCAGCGTTGGGCGACACGCCACCTCTAAGCCATCCACGCCTGGATGGTATGTTTGCTGCTAGCACGCGCGGGATCCAAAGCGATCTCGCCTGAGGGCCCGACCGCGCGCGAACTGGCGCTTCAACCTTGCTCCGCCTCGTCTCTGCGCGCGAGGCCGCGACCGCTAAACAAGTGTGCGTGATTGCGTGTGCGTGATAATATCGAAAGTGGCCCCTCTTTCCCCACAGTGAAGAGTCAGCGCCGCGTTGCGGAAGTCACTGGGAAGTCGAGATCTCGGCAAATAGTCTGGACCAGACTTAGTGGAGGCCCGCGCAGCGGACGGTCAACATGTCAATCGTCGTCGTGGCGAGGTCAAGTCTGAATCCGTGTGATTCTTTTCTAACAACTAATTCAGGACTTCGTGCGCTCGCACAGCATTCGAAAACGCATCCCCGGGTCACCCTGCTTGCTCCGTCCCTACCTGGCCCCCAGCTCAATTTCAAAAGCTTCGTTCTCCTCCTAGATCGCGCCGCTCATCTTGCAAATCTCACCTGCACCATGGATTGTGCTACTCCCTCTGCGCCTCCCATCCATCTTCTCTTTCTCCTCCTGCTCCTCCTCCTCCTAGTTATCCTCCTTGTCCTCGCCCTCGTCCTCGTCCTCGTCCTAACTACTCGTCATTGTCGTCGTCGTCGGCGGCGTCGGCATCGGCGTCGGCGTCGGCTTCGTCGTCGTCGTCGTCTCTCCTCCTCCTCGTCCTCCTCCTGTTCCTCCTCCTCCTCCTCCTCCCCTCCCTTCCCCCTTCCAAGGGAACCGGGCACAACTAAGAGATCTTCCTTATTCTCCGTCCCCTTCTCCATCCCCCCTCCTGTTCCTCTTCCTCCTCCTGACCCTCCTCCCTTCTCCTCTTCTTTGGCATCATCCCTTCGTCCCTTCCTCCCACTTACCCCACCTCCCCTTTCTCATCATCCTCCCCCTCCTCCCAATTATCTTACCAGTCCGCTCCTCGCTTTCATTTCTTCCTTCTCCTCCTCGTCCTCTTTCACCTTCTCATCCCGCACCTGCGCATATTCATGTTCCGTTGTTTCTACGTGTTCCCTCCTGCAGCTCTTCGTCGACACCTTCGTTTCTCGCTTCTCCTTGTCATCCCAGCTCCGCATCCTTCCTCCTCCACCATTCCTCCTTCCTCCCTCTCCTTCTGCTCGGCCTCCCTATTTCCTCCTTCTCCTTTTCCTCGGATCCTCCTCCTCCGCCAGAGCCGCAAACGATCCCCAGCGATGTTGCCCAGCGCCCACACCGCCTGCTCCCGAACGTCATCGTTCGGCGAGTTCAGGAGATCCTTTCAATGGGGTGGGGGTGGGGGTGAGGGTCGAGGAGAGAAAGACTTTCATGTACGCGGCATTGGCGACAAAGTCATCCCCCCTCCCCTGGAACTAGGACCCCCCTCTCCCGCTTCCTGTCCTCCCCGTAGAAACTGAAACTCGGGGTCAAGCCCGACCCTCCGACTTCCTCCCAGCGTACACAGAAGACGCTCTTTCGGGCCGAAGGAAGTTTGTAAAGGATGGGACGAAGAGGAAACATGAGGAAACGAGATTTGCAGACGCTGGTCCCTTGCTCGGTGGACGTGGCCGTCCATACCAAGCTCTACGCAGCACCCCGCAATTGCGGATAAAAACAAATGGGATCAGGAGGAAGAGGAAGGGGGGGACCATACAGAAAACGCTCGCGGAGGCATTTACCAAACTCGCCAACCAACACAACCATGCCACGGTACCAAAACACGCCGACCAGGATCTCGAGCAGGAATTGCAGAGCGAGAGGGCCAACTACAAGTACTAGACCGAGACCGACACGCATAACTTCAATGAAGAACTTGCTGCGCAGACGTCCCTACAACAAAACGAGCTTGACAATACTGAAAACCGACCTCAATGGTACCACTGTGAACAGCACAAGACCTAACAAATCGATAACGAGGCCGCGGTAGACGAGGAAAGACAAACCTTGTGGGGCCAGGTCCTGGACCTCAACAACAAAGTTCCTACATACCAGACCGAGATGAAACCGACATCGGTAACATACCGTGTACAACGGATCTACCCCATGAGACGCAGGCACGACTTAAATACATCATAGAACAAGGAAACGCGACTGGCCAAAGAAACAACAGAGCCAAACACATCCAGGAAGACGCTCGCATTACTCACGGATAACTACAACCACGACTACATAGCACGTGAAGCAGCAACAATATCGAATCTCACTCTAGAGCAGAAGCTCGATCAAACGTTGCAGCACCCCGATGGCATTATACAATACATGGCCACCACCAATAACAGCCTGACCCGGGATTACGCTACCATGGAGCAGCATATCGAGAACATGGAGCCCAACCCGACCCTTATCACATCTGAGTTGCATGATGCGGGCATCAGGCCTACGTCGCAAGGCCTCGCTGGACCACAAATACATCACGAATAAATGCACCAACGGCTAGGCGCGAGGAACACACGCAAGCGAAGCAAGGGGCTGACTAACCTGCGTATTAACCTTTGGAGGATGTCAATGCCGTGACTGGCCGGTACGGGTTGGGAAAACACACATCCAAACAGAGGGCCCGACATATGCCGAGGCGACTGGATACTTGAATCACACCGAGGAGCGTATGCAGCATATACAGAACCAAAAAACACAAGAGCTGCGATGCCAGTGCAACACAAACGCAAGAACACGATGAACTACTGTCAATCGGTCAAAGCGCTCGAAATCTTCGTACCACCTCGAAACTGATTGCGCTACTCTGCCCATTCGTCGCTCAACCTTCTACTGGACTATCGCCCTGGGTGCCCAGGGGGGCTCCTTTCTGCCAAGTGCGAGAGGCCTCTCGAACTGCATCGAGCCAGTACAGTGTCAGAACCATACAGCCACAATGCTGCTGTCTGCCGCTGCACAAAGGATCCGGAGAAACAAAAAAAAACAAGCACATCAACGGAGGACGGCTCACCTCCTCTTATTTGGCCCGTCAGTCTGGCAACATACACAAGCAGAATTACTTCCAGCTCGAGAGAGTGGCTGCGCCTCGGCGCCGGCAGCCTGAAAACCTCTGCGCGTCAGACCTGTCGGCCCCGCACTCGTCTGTCAAACCTGTCGGCCCAACATCTGTCTGTCAAACCTCTCGGCCCAACATCTCTCCGTCAAACCTGTCGGCCCAGCAAATGTCAGTCAAACCTGTCGGCCCAGCAACAGCTTCATTGCGAGAAATGCGTAGGTGAGGGAGGGGGGACGGGAACGCGAAACTGATACATGCATACTCCCTCCTGCCACGTTAACTGTCCGAGAGGAGGGAGGGCCGTTTTCTGGCGACGACCGTGAGCACAGCCGCAGGCTCTCCGCCCGCGTCGAGGGTCACTCCAAGGCGCGGGGTTGGCACCCGAACGACCCTCCGACTGACGGAGGGGGCGGTGGGGTGCGGCTTCATTAAAACGAGATGCGGGGTGGGAGGTGGAAAAAAGCACAGCTCTGAGCACAGAAGGCTGCGGAAGAGGGGAAAGGAAGGGGGAGGAGGAAGCCAGAGCACTACGGCCTAGGGGGGAATATAACCGCTTAGGCTTTGGCCAAACGAAACCATATTCCCTCCTGCCACGTTAACTGTCCGAGAGGAGGGAGGGCCGTTTTCTGGCGACGACCGTGAGCACAACCGCAGGCTCTCCGCCCACGCCCGTCCCGGGCCGCTCCCTCCGGGAAAAAGCCCCCCCCCTGCGCGCCACGCGCGCGGGCGGCTGGAGCCCGACAAAAGGGGGGGGGGGTCGATCACACGACTGGCCGCGAGCCGGCTCCCCAGCCAAGCTCACCCCGCGCAAGACCCTGGGTGCCAAGCGCACTAATCACAGTGGCGCGGCACCGCAACTAGCTGCAGCTGCAGAAGGGTAACGCGAATACTAGAAACAGTATTGCGGAAAACAGAAACCGCACCTCCGGGGGCACTGCGGGGCGGGGCATGCACCAACTGGGCACCGTCGAAAACAGCGGGTTCCCCCAGGTTGGAGCCCGAGGGGTTCGCAAGGCCGCCAGCTTGGTGCCAGCTGCTTGCGGGAAAACAGGCATACGGTGAGGGGGTAACACCCCTCCGCTTACTCATGCTACGGCCAGCCCGCCATGGCTTCCACGGGCATCCCCCCTCCCCAGCTTTCCGTCCCGCCACCGGGTGGGGCTGGGAAAGGGCTCGCGCGGCAGGGGGGCAAAGCTGCTCCCGCCGGGACTCCTCCGGGTCAGCCGCGCGCGTGGTATTCTTCCGGGGGCTCCTCCCGGAACTTGACCCGCTTCCCTTCCTTCTCGGGTGGGGTCTGCCCCAGGCGGTTCGAGCTTCCCAAGGTGAGGTTGTAGTTCTGGGCGGACATCGCCTCCGAGAGGCCTTTCTGGGGTTCGTGCGCCCCCCAGAGGTACGCGTGGAAGGCGCCCGACCTCCGCCTCCCGAACCGCTTGAGCCGCTCCAGGTCTGGCATGGCGTGGTACATAGCCGTGGCGCCTCCGATCCTCAGGGAGTGGCTCCCGATGCGCGAGGGATGTATCCCCACCGCCTTCGCCGCCTGGCCCAAGAGGTCGGTGATGTCTTTCCGCCGGATGGGGTTCCCACCCCCGTCTCGGAAGAGAGGGAGGTCTCCCTCCGAGGTCCACCGCTGGGGCGCCAGCCTCTCCAGCTCGGCGAGGGCTCCGACAGGGCAAAGGGGGTTGCCCGTGGCGTAGTGGTTGCGGCAGCATCCGAAATTGCACTGGTCGGTCTTGCTCCCCTTGATATAGATAACCACCTCGTCCGCGGACGCGAAGGCGGGGCAGACCGCGCCCTCCCTCCTCGGGGTGACATCCCTCCCGAAGAGGGCCCGCTCCGCCGCCCAAGCCCTACCCCCGGAGGTGTCGGCGAGGTACTCGGAGGCGCGCAACATAAAGAAGAAGGCGGTGGTGAGGGCGGCCCAGGCGGCCGCGTCTCCTACCCTCCCGGTGTCCAACTTCCCCCTTAGCCAGCGCATCATCTCAATGGTGACAGGGTACTTCGGTTCTGCTTGGCGCCCATCCCCCGTAGTCCCCCCGGCGCCAGCGCGAGCCTGGGGGCCAGCTCCAGAGGGTCCGGGTATCCCGCCGCGATATGATAGTGGCGGACCGCCATCAGCTTTCCCCGAATCGTCCCCTCCGAGCGATGCTGGACATGGGCCAGGTGGACGATCCAGCCCAGGAGCACGTCCTCATCCTGCCGCCGGCCCTCCCTCCCCAGCCCCGTGAGGAGCGGGCTCCCGCCCCGGGCTTTGAGGAAAAGGCGCCACTGCCTCCATGCCACGGCGTAAGAGGTGCGCGTCCCCTTTGCGAGGTTCCCGAAGATGAGGCTGCCCCGTAGGCGCTCCCTCTCGTCCGCCAGGTGGCCCCCCCCAATCTGGGGTTGCTCCCCCTCCGCCGTCAGCAGAGGGCACTGGGGCTCCGCCTGGGCCTGGGGTTTCCGGCCGCGGGGCGCCGCCGTGAGCGTCCCCATGGCCTCCTCCTCCTCCTCCTGGGCGAGGCGCCTCAGGCGCGGGCCCCTTGCCCCCCTCTCGGTCCACGTCGCCCCCGTCGGGGGGGCGGTGCTGGAGGGGGCGAAGGAGCCCCCAATCCCCCGCGCCCGGGGCCCCAGCAAAGGGGGGGCGGGCTCCGCCAAGTGGGGGCCGCCCAGCGGGCCTGCACCTCCGCTCTGCGGGGTCCCTCCGGGTGGCCCCCCAGCCCGGGCCCCGCGGGCCTCTCGGAGCCACCGCTCGTAAGCAGTCCGGGGGTCCTCGGGGTTAGCCTTCCAGGCGCTGAACCACGTCGCGTTGGCCGCGGCCATGAAGTCCTCATCAGGGTCTCGGCGCACCCCTGCCCGGGCCCCCTCCGCGAGGAGGCTCTCCCTCGCGCTGGCCGCTGCCCACAGCACTTGGTGCGCGGAGACGGGCGGCATGGGGCGGGCGGCACCCATGAGGAGCACCTCCCCAGGTACCCCCGCACGGGCCCCCCCCCTCCAATCGTGAAGGAGGCCCCCGGAAATCTGCCAGGCCTCCTTGGGATCGAAGCGCCTCACCCGAGGGGTGCCGCCCCCCCGCGTGTCTTCCAATAGCACGGGGTAGTGCCCGGAGACTTCGTCCGGGTGCCAGAGTGGGTAGTCAGGCCCGCTGCTCATCGGGCTAAGGATGACCCTGACGTCTCCCTCCGACTCCCGGGTGCTCTTCCAGGTCCCGGCCGCCTGGAGGGCGGTGGGGCGCCCTCCCTCCCCGCGGTCGGCCCTCTCAGGGACCCTGAAGTGGCGCCAGTGGGCCCTCCCCTCCTCCTCCTGCATGTAGAGCTCCGGAGGGACCGCCTCGGGCGTCAGCAGGGCGCTACTGAGGTTCAGTGGGACCAATCGCTCGCTCCGCCGCAGGAGTGCGAGTGCGGCGCTCCCCCAGT